CCGAGGTAATTGAATTCCGCTACATATTCCAATAGTTCTTCTCCAATTTTTATAGCATTGTTGTGATCTTCCGGGGGAGTGCACATGATTTTGGTTTTGTCGATATTTAGCTTAAGGATCAAAGCCTCGTATGCCCATGTATATGTGTTTAACATTTCTTGTAATGCTTGTAACCTGTTTGCAATACTGTTGAACAGACTGCCGCCGCCGTCATATCTGTATCTAATGCCCAATCCTCTCTCCTGCAGTTGGCGGTCCAATATAATGGAGAGCGCTACCATGAATATGTTGAATAGGAGAGGCGCTAAGACACATCCCTGCCTAACTCCTGTATTTGTTAGGGAGGAATCGCTCAGTGATCCATGATGTTGACCTCTTCACTTGTTGTTGTTATAGAGGCTTTTACACACAGTAAGAAATTTGTTGGGTACCCCGAACTTTTTCATAATTGTCCAAAGTGCATCCCTGTTCACACAGTCGAAGGCTTTTTTTAGGTCGATTAATGCAACATAAAGTTTAGACTGCTGCTCTTTTACTTTTTCCTGAAGTTGGCCGATGGAGAATATGGAATCGATGGTGTCACGGTTGATGCGAAAACCCGTTTGCGATTCTGGAAGGATTTTTTTCTATATATGGGTGCAGGCGGTTTGACATAATTTTTGCAAAAATTTTTTCTCAGATAGTCAATAGAGAAATTCCCCGGTAATTTCCGCAGTCTGATGCACTTCCTTTGTTCTTAAAAAAATATTTATTATAGTCGCGTTGCAAAAGTTCTGAGGTACCTCTCCGCTTTCCCATATGACATCAAAGAGAGCCTTAGGATGAGCAATAAGTTCTTTACTTGTACACTTATAGATTTCTGGCGGAATCGCACCACAGCAAGCTGATTTGTTGTTTTTAAGCTGTTTTATGGAGGTCTTTATTTCCTATTCTATTATTGAGATATCTAATACATCGAGCCTGTTATACGGAGGTACTGTTTAGTGCTTCCATATTGGGGTTGTTTTCTTGGTTAACGATATATCTGTAATGCTCTTTTTGTTAAATATATCGAAAAACAAAAAAAAGTCAATTCCACGTAAAACTAACTATCAGTAGGAATATTTTAGTCGCGATCGGAGACATTTCGGTTTTTGAAAAAATCGACAGGGGGTGCCGAGGAATTTTTTCGAAAAATTTTCAAAAATCGATTTTGCTTATTTCTTAATATATTGTAGTCCTGAATGTGTACTTTACAAAACCGATTTGTTTTTGAGATTGGCACTTCTTGTTCCAGAGATATTCGTTGTTAAATATTTTGGAAAACGGAAAAAAAGTATTTCTTTTGTACATTTTCTCAAATAACTCAAAATCCGTTAGAGATATCGGAAAACGGTTGTCGGCAGTCAATTCTACGTAAAATTAACTATGAGTAAGAATATTTCAGTCGCGATCGGAGACATTTCGGTTTTTGAGAATATCGACAGGGGGGTGCCGAGGAATTTTTTCGAAAAATTTTGGAAAATCGAGTTTGCTTATTTCGTAATATACCCTGTATAAGTGCAAAAGATAGAGTCCCAGAAATAAGTGCAAATATTTTAACTGGTAGTATAGTCCAACCCCAGAAACACGCCTATGAGGTTTTTTTGCGAAAAAAAATGTTGAAAATTTAAAATTTTACTTGACATTTTCCGGGAAATTTGAAAAAACTTTTTAGTGCCACTTGGTTATTCATCTGAGATTTCTCTACGGTGTATCTAAACCTTGCAGTGTTGCAACCTCCTATGTTATCCACATTCTATATAGTTCTACATTTATAAAGTAATAGACAAATTTCTACTCAATCTTAGGAATTTTAAATTTAATCTTTTATCAGTGCTCATTATTAATAATTATTATAGAAAAAAAAACACATTAATTATTTTTAGTACTTACCTTTTCCATGAAAACTTAACAAAAACCACCGAAAATTAACTAAAACATTACGTTTATGACGTTTACGAAAATGATTCATCGTATTATTCACAACCAGGTCACAAAAAAGAAATTCCTAAAATGTTTATCGTAATTTAGAATTCAATATATCGAAAACACCCAACCAATAATCGATTAATTTCTGTTTTGTTTGTTTTCTTTCATGTTTCTTTGATGAACCACTGATTTAAAAACACCTTAAAAAAGCGCACATTACATATCAATACTGTCTCTTACTCCACTTTGCCGAACTACTTTAAATATAAGAAATACATGATTTTCAATCGTAATACCTTAAACATGTATTTTGTTTTTTTCGCTATTTTTCGATGTATTTCGACAACTCAACCGTCGCGTCGTCCAAGAGTGCCACGTGTGAACTCGTCCTTTGAGCCGCGCCGTCGTGGCGGGCTTGCGTCGGACGACGATAAGAAAGCAACGTTGCCGTAGTTACAACAGCTTTCAAATTCTCAAGAATATGTTTCGAAGCAATCACCTGTATTAGCCTTTAAAAATAAATGTAGAAAGTTTTGAAAGGAAACAAACAAACAAATATGAATTGATTATTCGTCGGGCTGTTTTCGTACATATTGAATTCTGAATTACGATAAACATTTTAGAAATTTCTTTTTTGTGACCTTATCAATAATCAATTCATTTGTGTTTTGTTTGTTTCCTTTCATGTTTTTCTGTTTGATTTTTAAAATTTAATAAGAATTTGATTGCTTCGAGTGTCTTGAATTTGAAATTGTTGAAACTACGGCAACCTCGCATGACGCAAGCTCGAGACGCCAGCGCGAAAAAGGAGCAGTGAGCAGTTACCAGTTACCAACCAGTTATGCGCGGCTGTCTTGACCTACGATTGGGTCGTCGACGGAATTGTCGAAATACATCGAAAAAATTGCGAAAAAACAAAATACGTATTTAAAATTGTTGAGTGAAACATGTATTTTCTTAGATTGAAAGTAGTCCGTAAAGTGGCGGTAAGAGACAATAATTCTCAACATTTATTCATTCAGAAAGGTATTCAAAGTAATGTGTAATGTGTGCTTTTCAAAGTGTTTTGTAAATCAGTGGTTCAAATTGTGATGAAGCCTATATGAAAATAATGTGTTAAGTTAAAAATGGGGACTGCTATTTTAGCAGTTTTTATAATAGCATGTACAAGTAAAGCAGCATAATGAAGTGTATTTTAGTTAAGTGTGTATCGAAAAAGAGAACTGTCGCAGTTACATCGATCTGTCATAAGTATCTTTTTTAATGTTGGATAAGTTATTTAATTTAACTTTTTTAACTTTTAAACATTTAAATTTTAATTTATTTTATGTAATAATATCACAACCTAAAAAAAGTAATGGCATCTCTGCAAACTCCTTAGGTGTTGTGATTTTATGACTTACTTTTAAACATATACTTTCTTGTCCATATTGCAACACAGTGCGTCGAATTAACTGAAATCCGGGCTTGATCCGGGTAATTGGATGTAGTTGCGATTATTTTTTTAAATTTTCAAAGTTAAATAACTCGGTTATTTTCAATTTATTTCAAAAATGGTAAAGAGAAAATATGTTGATTTTGACCAGATCTACCACCCCTTAAAATATTTGCACTCATTTCTGGGAC